ATGTATGTTTTTCTTCATTTCTTTTCTATTTTTAAGGCCAACTTATGTTAATGTTTGCAGCTCTGTGGCTACGTGGTTAAAGCTGCTGGTCGAAGTGAGGATGAAGTGTGTTGAATAGAGCGAGTCTATTGCCTGTGAGCTCTTACTACAAAAAGAGGGATTGGAAAAGCAAAGTAAAGGTTCTCTGTGTACCTGAAGCAGTTTGTGCTTCCTTTGTGCTCCGCTCACGTTTCACTCTTTGTGGTGTTATTTCTCGTCACAGTGTGCGAGTCCTCGCCCTCCGTGCAAACGACACAATCGTAGAGGCTTTTGTGCAGTTTGATGCAGTCACAAGGCCATGAATAGAATGAAAAAGCTAGCACAAATTGAAGTTCTCTGATACTTTATTTCACAATAAATCAATAAAACAATAGAATCTGTTCCTCCAACACTTTGAACTGCACGTCAGTTTCACAGATTTTTCACTCAGGGCAAGTCAACTGTTTTCACAGTTTATTTCTCAGGACCTGGTACGAGCAATAAGATTGGTTCGAATGAGATTTAGAATACAGGGTTTCTGGTGAAAGTCTTATTTTTCTGCGAGAAGCATCATTCCACATGATCTGGTTGAGGGATGTTCGGAAAGATGAAAATCTGACAGTATTAACATTTTTTTTACTGCTTCTGATATAATAGACGGTTCACATTTGGCCGTTCTTTGAATAAAACATGCTGTTCCAATCCAACAGCAGGTTTTGGGGTTCTGTTTCTCTTCAACGTTAGTCATGAAAAAAAGAAACCTGTTAGCAGTTTTCTTATAAATCAATAAAATGGTTTGGATAGTGTTCCAGTGTTGGCCCTTTTTTGCAATGGCGTACTTTTGACTACTGGCGCTGAATATTTGCCTTCTTTTAGGCACAAAGTCGAGCATCAGCTGAAACCGAACCTTCTGTGGCTCCTTGGGGGGGTTGGGCTGAAACCCGTCTCTTGCTGCCTCTTGCACTGTCAAGACACACCGAGCTGTCAACAGAGGTGTCAAACGCTTTTCTTTTTTCTTTCCCAGCAAGCAAGAAAAGCAGATGGGTAAGGGGAAAAGGATGTGGGGCAGACAGGCGGGAAGCCGAAAGAAACCCGATAGCGGCTAACTGCGTCGGCTACAGAAGGAAGAGACGTGTCTAAATCATGGAGGTTAATCGTTCTTCCTCCCAGGTTCATGACTCGGCTCTGTGCTTTGTGGTGTTTCCAGCAATTCCTTACGTCTCTTGCTTGAAACAACACATTTCAAACACTAGATTCCCAGCCCCGCCTGTGCGATCCCCATTCACACAGCCACTCACGCTTAGCAGGACGTTAGTTCTTCCAAAGAATGCTGAAGCATTTTCAGTGTAAGCAGAAACAAGTCTCCCCCCCCCTCTTTCATCCTAATTCCCAACTTGCCTCCTCCTCCCCCCCGAAAAGTCTTCAGCCGTCACAGCGTCCACACAGAAGTGAAATGTGAGAGGCCTCATTACAGGTATAATGATGCCTCAGAGTTTCACTTCTTTGCACTTCTAGATCCTCTTCATCAGAAACGCTCACGGCGTCAGTGTAGATGACTATCGGCTCATTTCATTGTTAAAGATATAAACCAGCTCGAGCCTCAAATTTCATTTCTATCGGTGCAATCAGCTGATGGAGTTATCATAAATCAACTGTTAGTTTTCAGTTGGTGTGTGAGTACAGTTGCAAGACTCTTCATCTATTCATTCACGGCCTCGTCCATAAAGGCAGACACCGCATGCTGTAAACAGACGCGAGCAGAGGAGTAACCATGGTGACGGTCACCTTCTCCAGTCACCTCACCTGGCAAATCTTCATCACCTATATTTATACTAACATATCAATACATCAGAGGTTTGAATGTAGAACAGAAGATCTCATCACTTAAGAAAGGTATCTGAGCGGGGTCACGGTTACTCACCCCGAGGTCGCTGAAAGTCTACACTTGCCGTCCAGCCGTCATTCATGTAACTGAAAGCTGCTTCGTGTTTACTCACGCGCCACACGACACCCTGACGCCGTCCGCTAGCAACGAGATCCGGTGTTTTCTGAACGCCAGTATGCACCAGGATATATATATATATATATATATATATATATAATATATAATATATACACACACACACACGTATACGGGCCCTGCAAAGAATGTTTTGCTCTTCTTGCTGTGGAACGTCTGTGTAATCTGAGCACAACCTTGACGCATTTCCTGGTTTTTTACTTTGACATCAGCAAGTCCGATATAATCTTAACATGCTAAGATTATATCGATTATAAGCTAAACATGTCCTGTTTGGGGGAATAGTACAACATGGACTGCATTTCTGATCAGCTCGCTCCGCATACTTTCCTATAAATACTGTAAAAGACGTCACCTTGTGTTTCTCGGCCCAAAGCCAGTCTGAAGTGAGACTGCAGAGGGAGTCTGCATGTGGAAGGGACCCGTTGATGAACTGATGTTGTAGTTTTTCTTTTCTAATGGACCGCAGCAGCCTCTCCCCTCGACCAGCCCCATTTTGGGTTTCCGCCTCTGGGAGCTGCCATGTAAGAAATGCAAGTGAACTTCTTCCCTTCCTCTGGAAACGGGGTTAATTGCACAGTGTTGAAAGTTCGGATTAGCTCAGGGCGGACTGAGCGAGCAGCGGTCGCCACTCGTTTTAAAAAATAAAAAAAAGATTAAAAGAATCTGCCTTCAGCGTTCACAAATTAAAAAGGCTCTCCAACATGCAAAGCTCTTTTAAAATATTAGCAACCCAAGTGTTGTGATGAAGTGATTCATCGTAATTTAATTGCTTACCGGCTTTTGTCTTTAATGCACCATGATTGACACGATTGACCGCCATGTTTGGCTGCTTATGTGGAACACACGAGTCGTATGCAACGAGGTCTGCAGCTGCTGGGAGAACCACATCATGCGGATTCTTCGAGGGTCATCTCTGGGACACGAGTCACTCCCCTCCATTACAGCAAAGTACTTCTAATGAGGCCCCCACCTTGTTACCGGGGGCTGTTTCCCCACCGACATGCTCGTTGTTTAGCAGCAGGCGACCTCTGCTGTCCCCACCAGCCCCTTTGGATTCTATCCAGAGTGTCTTCTCCTTCTTCCGATTCCACAATCGGAATCCAAAGAGCAGATAACAGTGGGTGAACGTTCTCAGATTGATTGCTGAATTAGCCGTGTGCACTTTTTGCCCGTGGAGACTTAGCGTGGCCCGTCCTCCTCTTCCGCTGCATTACTCCGTCACAAGTCACCAGCCAGAGGAAGCGCTAGGTGAGTCATAGCGGCTCGCAGCTGACTTGTTATGTAACATTGGGTTCAGAGAAGACGTCTGACTCTCTTGTAGATACAGTAAGTAGGCAGATGGAGCTCAACGCCACAAAGTCATGTCTGATACTCATACTGCACGTCTTGAGGCGACCACCTAAACTGGGACAGTCAGGACCAAGACCAGGGTGTGGGGGGGTTGACCGAGGCTTAGGAAATGAAGGAAAGGAGCTTTAATGAGGTTATATTTTTCACAATAATTCTTTATTCATTCATCTTAGTGCTGTATCAATAAGTGTTAGTTTGGTATAGTGTTGCTTTTTAAATGACAAAGATGGCGAGGACATCATTGTTAGACGCAGAGCGCTTTTTTTCTATGTCTACGAGCCGGTCTATGGTCGGGTTGTTATGATACGCAATATCTGTAGAAGTGAGAACCAGCTGAGCTGTCTTTTATAATGTTGCTGCGTTCCGTTTTTCCCCATTGGATGCCATAAATCCCCCAGAACATGCAAACGGACCGGCCTCTTGGCATGATGTGTAAATTCAAACTAACTTTTCAGAAGGTGACTCCTGAGCACGAGGTCCTTCTGGCAGCTCAGAGGTGTAGAACACCTTGGTGGGTGTCCTGAATACAGATGATGGAGACACACACACACACACACACACACACACACACACACACATTCATATCCACAGGACGCAGTAGATTTATAGTGTCTTTTTTTTTGGACATATGGGCATGTGGATCCCATATGGTCTGCAGGAGTTACCCGTCTTTACACTTTTCAGGGTGGAACTGCTCTGCTAGAAAGATTTTTAATAAATTAGATTTTCTGGATTTGTTTGAGTAGATGATGAGGTTTTACAGGTTATACTAATACGTATGGTAATAATGGTACGTGATCCCCCATTGTTCATGTATGTTACATGCATTTAATGTGCGCCTGAACCTAAATACATATCCTTTGCTCTTTTCTTTTTTTCCTCACTTGGTTGGTTGGGTAGAGAAACATATCTTGAATTTCATTTATTTGGCCAGTGTCACCTCAGATGTTGCTTGTGTTTTTGGGGGAAAGGGAGGGTCCTTTTACCAGCACCTGCTCCTTTCCCTCCTCACCCCCGTGGAGCTTCAGGCTGTTACCTGCCTCTCCGTCGTGCTGCTGGTCCTAGGCCAGCCGCCGCGCTGAGGAGGGCCGACCCGTCCGCCTGCAGAGACTTCTTTGTTGTTTCATTTTCGTCGCCACTTTTGGGTGGAACGTGCAGCCTCTGCTCCAAAAAGTCACAAGTCAGCTTCTTTTCAAGAGCCAACTTGTGACTTGTGTACCCTGTGCGTGATAACAAAAGCCTTAAATGATGAAAGAAATGCCTCCTTTCCGTCTGCTTCACTGCAGGGTGTTTGAATTGACCGGGTGCTGTGCAGTTGTAGAACACAACACATCAGCGGGCAGCCTTCTTTCCACGGCCACTTAACTAAAACTATTCATTCCATAAACTTCTCTTTGTAATATAAGGTTACACATGTTTGTTTCTCTTTTTGTGCTAAAAGAAAAAAAAATGAGGTTAATTTTGTTTATCCATTAATCTGTTTCTTTTCATTTTTAGCTGCTCTTTGATTTTAGTTAAACAGTAACATACACCTTGTCCACATACACCGAATGAACGAGTCCAGAATACTTCACATCACACATGTATCAATGATCTTCTTTTCTCGCAGGCGCGTGGTGGGGAGTCCGGACCGCGAAGGATTGGCACATCTAAAGCGTTTTCCCCGTGACTGCTCAGTGGAACGGTGAGTTCAGGAACGGCACTCGGCGGGCACTCGCACGCAGTGTGACCAATGGGTACAGCGCCGTGTGTTTGGTCGACCAAGTGAAGCCCGACGAAGCGCAAAGAAGGTCCGACCAACTGGTTGGGAGCAAATAATCTAGGCTGCATTTCCGTTGAATCAACAGACGTGTTTGTGGACGGGGAACGCTTAGTGTGGCTGTAATCCGCCCAGCGTAGTTTCTAATGCGATGTTTACATTTTTTTTTTAAACGCTGCGTTGCTGGAGAAGCGGCTATCGCTGCTGAAACGCCGTTAATGTGCCCAAGCTGCAGAGGACTGACTCATGACTCTGTGACCCTGCAGTCACTCCAATTACATAATGAGCAGAATGAGGCGTACGGTCACCAATCGCACTGAGGGGAAGACGGTTCATATTCAGTCGCAGACGCAGCTCCTAAACCTGCACGCTGCACCCCGGCGTTCACCTGGAAGGGAATCTCTGCCGTTCCCATCTCCCTTCTCCTCCCTGCGCCATCTGAAGACTTTCACAAGTACAATTCATATCTGTGCGCCAGTGTGGCTATTTTTAGATGGGCTCAAATATCAGGGGATCCTGGACTCCTCTATTTCCTTCTGTTTCTCTCTCTGCCTGTCTCCTCCACTTACCCCCATCCGATTGCATTTCAAAAGCCCTGCCTGTGTTTGTGTGTGGACGGTTCATTGCAGCGCATGGAGACACATGCGGTGCACACAGTTTGAACGTATGCGTCTCCCTTTTGTCCTTTTCCTGTCGGGATGGCTGGCTCACTCAAGGTGAAGATGGGCTACTACTACTGGGCCTGTGAAGCTGATTGCGTAATCGCCTGTGTGTCTCTGAAGGACAGTCTGATAAGGATGACCTCGAGTCCTACACATGGTGATGTCACATAGTGAGACAGGATATCTGGACCACCCTGTATTTATTTTAGTACTCACCTTCATGGAAGGGACGATAATAAATCCTCGCTTACAATCGTTTTAGTTCTTGTTGTTTTTTTGTTTGACATTTTCCCGAGCGCCATTGTTCATGGGCGAGCCGGAGACGCCACCGGCACCTGTGGCGTTGGTAACGAGAGGAGACATTCATCGCCTTCACTTGCGCTTCTCTTAAAGATTCTTGGTTTTCCTGCTAGGGGAGGGGGGTGGGGGTGGTTAGAGATGATGGGGGGGTCGGACTGTGCCCCGTGGCGCCCAGATAGTGGCACCACGCTTTTTGCAGTCAATATGTGCAGGCAGCATGACAGGAAGCAGTAAGTAAGCTCTTACAATGTCCTATTTTTAAGTATGTATTGATACTACAAATATCCAAATTTGTGTGTTATCCGGGTTTTGCCGTGCGTTTTTAGTATCAATACACCGTTATTTACATCATCGACCCACAAGCAGCCCTTCACCTGCAGAGGTGCAAGCCAAACCCGCCGTGGCGGCGGGCACCCGGTCTTCTTGCGTCCCGGCGCCCCCTTCAGGTCCTCCACTGAATATTTAGCGCGCTGTTTGTGGCTCTCTGGCAGTGCGTTGCTGCTGGTGCTAGTCAGAGACGGGCTTTGGTCGAGCTTGTGGTCCTCGTTTTTACACAAGCATAAGACAAGGTAGACGTTTTTCTCCCATGATGTATTCATACTTAAACCAACTGTGACATTCTGTAGAGGAGAACTGAGAAACCCTCCACGGTGCTCTTGAATATCTGCTGCCTTTCTCTTGGTGCATTTCTTCCTCTTGGTGTCTTTGCAGCAGGTCACATTGATTCCCTCCATTAATGACACAGTGTTTGGTCCTGATGATAATGACGAGGATCATGATGAAGGCAACCACTCACTAACAACACACCATATTATATCACATCATGTTGCTGCTACGAGGTCGGCCGCCTCGGGTGATTTATACCACATCCATACCGCCAGGAAGTAGGCCGGCAATATTTCACGGGTGACATGAGCACCCCGGGTTTTTTCTTTGTTTGAATGTGTGAATCTAAGCACCAGTGAAATGGGAGCGGCTGGAAAGGATGACCTTTGGTCTGATGCCTCAGGGTGGAGTGTGTCGCTGTCACAAAATAGAGCTGGGCTACCTATGAAGCTGAGAGGAGACTAGATTAGAGTTTATCTCTACTCCCCCTCCTTCTGAGGACACACGTATGGCCAAGAACACACACACACATACACAAACACACAGTGTATTTACTGAATGCGTGACCAAGGTTTTTGGCTCAATCAACAGCAGCCGGGGGCTTCGCTGAAATCTTTTCAATCTCGTGCTTTAGTTTGAGCATTTCAAGCTGAGGCATTTCAAAATTCTGCACCAGTGGAATCCTGAGCTTATATTTAATGCCTCGGCAAACCCTTCTGGACAATGATGTGGAGGTTCTGCTGACATTTTGATACCGAATCTGCTAGATTGACGTACATAAGTGAAGTGTTTTTGAAACGTCTTTCTGTGTTGCCTTTGATTATCTTACTGAAGCATTTAATGAGTTCCAGCCCCCTTCGATGTTAAAAAAAATCCTGTAATAATTGACAAATGATGTCGGCCTCTCACAGGTTTTCACGTTCAGATTGGACCCATTGATGAATCCTGCAAAAAAGCTCAGCTTTGACCCCTCTGGTGTCAACCCCAATATACCCTTATATTATATATACTTAGCTCTCCAAAGTGACCAGCAGAATGTGCCCTGGAGGCCAAGCATCACCGGTAAGGTTTGAAGAAAGTGGAAGACTTTTTTTTCCCCCAGAGCAGCTTGTGAGGTCTGCATGAACAAACGCTCAAGGTTTAAATGGGACACGAGTTTCCTTAATTTGGCGTCCGTTCAATGAGATCCTTCCAACATCCATCCTCTCCTCGTTGTTGTTGGAAAGCGACTGACTCCCTGTCTGGTTGAGTTCAGTTACGCCATCCATGTTTTGATAGAATTATGTTACTGTCGTTGCCGCAGATGCTCCGGCGCCATATGTTCCGTGTGAGCCAGTAGCCAGAGTGCTTCGACATCACCGCTGCCACCCTGATTAGCATGTATTTCTGTGTGAAGAGCCCATCTGGAGAGTACCTGAGTTCTTTCACACGTCTTGTTTCTCACCGTCGTCGTCCTGTTGTTGTTGTTTTTTACTCTCGCTTGCCCCAGTGCATCACATGGCACATGCACTCTGGTTCCCGTCCACTCCTGCCTGTGACCGGACGGATCCGCTGTCAAAGTCCACGTTTGTTTTGGAGCTCGGTGACTGGAAGCCGGGGGGCCAGATGTGAAAACAATGCGTCCGCTCGGGCAAAAGCCGCGACGCAGGCTGCTGCTGTCGCTGATAGCGTGGGTTCGATCCCCGGAGAGCATGTCTGCTCACCGTCTCTGTGACATCTGTTTTGCTCTGTGCAAACTGCAGATAGGACTCGGTGCATCTGGAGGGGCGACAAGACGTCATCCATACGACTACAATAGCAGGGCCGTGTTTACGGATCTCCACGGGAACCTGGGTGCTGTGCACTTTGAGGATGAGTGAGGACCTGACATGTTGTGCACGTAGCAGGAGTATGTTTATACCTTTTTTGGCGTTATGGTGAACTGATTGATGCTGGAATCCTGAAGCCAATATTATTCTCTTTGGAAACGCAGCACTGGTTATATAACAAGTTTAGTGTGTGTGTGGTGTTTTTTTTGAGTGCGGCAAAAACAATATCGCATGTGATTGAGTAGTGTGTTTATTTTGGTTTAATGTTCGCTAACTAGCGTACCACAGTCGTGAGGCAGGATTGAACTTGTTTTAAGAAGTGATTGCTGACCTGATGGGAAAATGAGTACAGTTCCAATCAAAATGATTCAAGCCTCATGGTACATTAGGTTTATTGGTCAAAATACACATTTTGGATACTTGAATAATGTTGTGCAAATACCAACTTAGGACAGCAACTTTGTTTCATTCAGTAGCAATAATATTGTAAACGTAGTATAATGGTTTACTTTTTGGGACTTCAGGTAAACAAGCAGCAAAGGTAAGAACAAAATATGCCGCAAATGCCTGAAACCGTGTCTATTTAATTTTTTTTTAATATTATTTCATGAAACATCAGGACATCCCGGTTCCAATAGTGAACGCAAGGATACACAAAGCTCAGCTTAACAGGTGGAGGACTACTCTGTTCTAGTGGCTGTGATACTTTGCCACCCGTTCACCACAGGTTGCTATCAATTCTAAAAATAAGCACATTTGTTGAATTAATTCAAAAATAATTTTGCGGCCACAATGGCCTGCAGACCCTGGAGATAGCTGTACCTTTCCCCGCTAATCAGCCTCCACGCCGTATTATCAGATTGTTTTGGTCCAAACCAATTTTCTTTACAACCCGACTGCTGTTGCTGCCGTTACTGAAACCGCCTTCACGCCCAGCAGGAGAAGAGCTGTGATTTCATCTGCCTCACCTTGATCAGATTACACACTGGAATTAAGATAATTACAGCTGTCGCTGATTAATGGGCGACTTAGTTATAATTATCACCCTGGATATGGCGAGACTGTAGGTAGGTGTGTGTGTGGTGTGTGTGTGTGTGTGTGTGTGTGTGTGTGTGAGGCAGAAAAAGACAGTGCATTTGTTAAGATGTGCGTACAAATCTCACGTGTGCATATTCTTCCGTGTGTGTGTGTGTGTGTGTGTGTGTGTGTGTGTGTGTGTGGCGCTGAAGTACAACAGAGAATAAGTAGTTGAATCATTATTTTAGAAATGATCATTTGTGTGCTCGGAGGAGACTGTTGTGCGCTGCTGAGTGTAAGAGCTGGTAAAACCCAGCATTAGCACACTAAAGTAGTATTATTGTATGAACTTTATTCAAATGACACACAGGGAGAGTAACTCGCACAGACATTTTGGCCCAAGATTTCATCAATGTGCTGAGGACTTCCTACTTAATCAGTCATCATAGCTGTGCACATTGAGCCTGCTGTCTCTGGCTTATATCATATATCCATATTATATATATATATATATATATATATATATATATAT